AACTCGCTTGAACCACTAGTCTTTTTAAAAAACTTGACTATCAAGAAGAACGTGAGGGAAGCCTCGTTTTTGGGTTTTCTGGATGAGTGAATCATGCTTGTAAACGCATAATTTTCTTTTCTTCTTCTTCTTCTTCTTCTTCTTCTTATCTTTCATGTTGCTGATGCTTTTCTTTATTATTCTTTTAATTATTGATTCGTTCTCTTGAATAACTTTCAGTTGTGATTTAGTTTTTGATATTTTTTTTCTTTTCGCTAATTACAAACCACAATTAATTTTACTCTCAAGGTAACAACTAGAACGTTCGTTCACTCCCTTTTGCCACACTCAATTAATATTGTGGGGGAAAACAATGCAAGAAAAGAAGCCGATCCGACGAATACTTCAACTTTCCACACCAGACATACTAACAATAATTCGACACAGCATCGAGAATTTCAAGTGTATTAACATATTTTGACCTTCATTAGTCTTGTTAAGCATCTCATCTTTCCCTGTATTACCCTGTGTTATCTTTGCAAACCTTCACACCAAAGACAAATATTCCATTATTTATTTATCTATCACTTATTGGAGATTTTTCAATCGTTTTTCACTGATCCTTAGTCTTATTTTTGCTTATGAATTGACGTTTCAAGTTTGCCTTAACTCTAGATCTCAGGTTGCTTTTGATATGACGTCATGGCGAGGTTTAGGTTCATTCAACGATTTTCAACTTTTTTAGTATTTAAGAAATGTTAACTTTCTTATTGCAAAAATAACAGTAATTATTATTTCATGTTATATTTCAATTTATGTTTCAGTTTGAAACTTTGGTTTGCGGTTTACTGCGGTTAATCTACAACACATTCTGGAAAGATACCAAAACTTTATTGTTGATTTTCATTTCATGATCAATGGAGCTAGTAATCGATTATGAACTTCGCCGTACAATTCGTGAAATCGCTAAGCCGGCCTTTCTCATAGATCTCTCTTCAAATACAACATTAAAAGAGACATCACCAATTAATAGAGATGTGTGACTAAGTCCCTCCAGCTCCTAATCATGAAGGCCAATCTAGAACGAAACATGAATGTATCACAAGGGCTTTGCATATGTGCTTGTGGACTGATATGGCGGCGCGAAGCCGATGTTATCACGCTGCGCGAAGTGATTATGTTTACTCAACTGAAAGGATTTTGAAAGACAGATCTTAAGTGATGTTGGATTTACTTAGTTTTGGATATATAAAAATAAAAATTAAAGAAGAAAAGGACGAGATAGAGRTTTGAATAAAGATCCGGACACTTGGCCTTGACAGAAGCTTCAGGGCGACCGCCGGGTCCTAAATCGCGGAAACTTCTCCGGCTTTAGGAAATATTTCTAGAAACGTCTTAAGCTGAAAGTACCTGTAAGAACCCTTCGGATCTAAACGATGGATCAAACTAGACACGGAATACATTTATGGAGAAAAAAGGATAAAAATTGAGGAGCAAATGCAATAAAAACCGCGTGTGAACCTCAAAGATGGTTGGAAGAAAACAGAATTTACCGTGCGGTTTCAATTCAGATTATATTTTTTTGATTGAAATAAAAGTGATTTTGATTAATTAAGTTTCATTGTAGTCGAAATTTGTAATCAAAAGTGACACGAAAAAGGTTTTGAAAATGCAACAGGAACATAGGAACTAAGAGCATTAACAGTTTTTTTAATGAATTGCGTAAGGTTATCACATTGAAATTAATGCTTGATTTTGAATTGGAACGAACAATCAGAAATGAGGAAACAAATAAAAGCATTATTAGAAAAAGTTCTGTATGATTTTCATCAAAATAGGAAACATATCCTTTATATATTTTTTTCCACTTTAGGCTCTACGACAAGGTATTGGCAAATTTACGATGTTTTTTGTTTTTCGCTTTTTAATTGGTTATTTGTTTTTGTTTTGAACTTCATGCATATCTTGATGAAGCATTTGCTTTACAAAAGGTGCCTTTTTGCTTTTGGTTTGTTGCGGTTTTTGTTTTATTTTTATTATATACGAGGAGTTCTTCACTCATACTCGCCATTATTATCTACTGCGCTAACACTTTATTCCCGTTTGCATGTATGAAATCAACGAAAATGACCCTCCTGATTAATGAGAATGACAAATGACCAGGATGACTGAATTTTAGCACAATTATGCATTATGCGTGATGGCAAGTTAAACTTGATTTCAACAAGCTACCAACAATATTCAAACTTTTAAGTGTAATTTGAAGAAAACTAACGTTGAAGATTAAGGGTACGTCTGTGTTTGAACAGTCGACTTTTGCGGACACTCCATACCTCCAAATTCCGCTTTATCCTCTACAAATTAAACGTGACAAAAAAAATCAAGTCGAAAATATATCCTACAATTTACCAACTAATCGACTTCAAAGTCACATGTGAAAATTTAAGAGATTGAAACACGAATGATATCATTGAAATTTGTGTTGGTAAGAAAAAGAAAAAAAAGAGAAAAGAAAAGAAGAGAAAAAAATCCCAAAAAATTTAATTTTGGAATTTCTAAATTTCTAATGTTTAAATATTCAAAAAAGGACAATAATTATTTTAGAAGATTAATCGCCTTTCATTCACTTATAAGTTTTTTTCCAAATATAAATGGTGATATTGGGTTGCTTCTTACATTGAAAATAAGTACACATTTTAAAAAATTAAATAACTTTGACTAACGAATAAGAGTTCGGTTGGAACAGCTTTAACTTAACTTTTTAAGTTTTTTTTAATTGTTACTGAGAAAGATTCGTACGAACTTTTATATAAATGAACGAAAATGTCGCTAAAATAGTCTGAATTTGTTTATAATTTTCAGCACTGGTTGTTCAAAAGCAAAACATCTTTTATATCATGCATGAAATCTAGGAAAATATATCAGAGAGTGTAACTTACAGTCAAAGGCTCGTTCACTATGGACGCTTCCATCAACGGGGAAAAGAATTTTTTTGTGGCTAGACATTTTCTGTGCTTACGTGTCGTTTCCAAGGCAGTCTATAGCGTTCTAGCTCTAGTGCAAATGAGAACATCAAAACTTCAACAGCGTTATTTCTATTTGTGTTCCTTTAATAATGAATGATTCTATTAATATCAAGGACACGTGACCTAATCTAACAAGCCAATAAACATAGCCGAAACGGAACGGCGTTTCTTCAGTAGTAAAGAACGACTTGGAAGTTCTATGTTTAGAATTCAAAGATAATGAAAATATTGTCAATCTTGGAGGGGGAATTTCTCTAAGGGGTTGGGGAAATTTGTTCCGAAGAATCGAATTTGGCGACATCTGCGATATAGTATTTTATGCAATGAGGCAGCGAGGATTATAATTCAGATAGAAGTCAATTTTCGTTTTGTTTGTTAATACAACATTCGGTTTATGGGGTTATTGATATTCATAGAGTTAAAAGAAAAAGGAAAAACTAATTATGATTTTTTCGCCTAAGGTAAATGTGTTGTGTCAATAAATCGCGTTACACTTACAGAATTTCATCATGTGCCGAAGGATTAGAAAGTTTGCTTTCTTGTAAAATTGACACTAATTGAATAAAAAAAAGTTAAAGCTCAAAAGTACAGATTGAAACCAAAAACCTTTCTTTTTTCTTTTCTTTTGCCATCTGTGATCAACGCGTTCACCTTGGAATCAATTATGCAAATTTATCTTATTTTTAAAAATATTTGTTCGCGATAGCTATATTCGAGCAGAAAAGGAAGGACCTCCTAAGAAGAAATACGTTAACTGAACACGAAAATCTAGAGGCTAAACTGAAAATGTTTACCCGGTCAAGCACGATTTACGTTTAAGCCTGCTTTTTAAGCGGAAGAGGGACAGCAACGCGTACGAGCGGTAAATGTGGTCGCCTAGCATGTAAACACATACTCAACCAAAGCGACACAGCCGGCTTATTTAACATCAAAGTCAAATCACTAAATTCAAAGCTTCAAAACACTACGTGACGTAAGGAAACTTCCTGATCAAATAGGCGATAAAATAGAATAATCTTATTGTAAGAAACCGTTTGTGCTTTATCACGTAACATATATCACGGCTGTCTCTAATACTACTTGATAAAGATGTGAGCGATATTAATATTAGAAACAGGGAAATCAGTCTTTTTGCTTCTAGGCCACTATCGTTTGCTTCCCGTTTTTATCCCAGGTTCGTCGCACTGTATTTTGTGCAACCATGTGACTCAAAATCCCTTGAGATATGAATAACAATGAAACAACCGCCATGTTGGTTGATCAAGAGAAGCTAATGAGGTTATGACGTAACATGCGCATGTTCTATAGATCCTTGCGAACAAGGCAAGGCTGCAAGAATAACTCCCATGTTAATATAAGAAAAAATTCCAATTTTGAAAACCCCATAGGGATCAAAGGCTTGAAAGGTTTTTCCAGCCAAAAAGCGAGAGACGGCGCCTGAAATACAAGCCTGGAATTGATTGGTTAAAATGAACTTATCGACGTCATTTGCATCCTTCTCGCACCTACGGACGCCTTTATCTAACGCTTGGTTATATTGAGTAGTTGAACAACTGCTGCATGGGGTAAATCTGAGAGATAAAAGTTACTAATGAAGTTAAAATATTGAGAATGGCGTCTGAAGCGGCGGCCATGTTGTCAGAGGGCAAAACAAAACGAAGATGAGAATATATCATCAGAGTTTAGTGGGTAATGGTGATCGACGTGTCGTCTTGCAACTGCAAGCTTTTATCACCTTGATCTAGTAAAATCACACCAAAAGCGGTTTACAAACTCCTTTTATTTATATATTTTATGTATTTTAATGTTCGATAACTCTTTGAGCATTTATATGTATCGACAATTTCGCCCGCTACAGCTCATGCCTCCTTCGAGCACTCGTAGCGTCGTATAAGTAACAAGTTTGTCTCTTTTAACGTTTGTATTCTTTGAATTATTGATGGTCTTATTGCTTTATAGCAAAACCAATCTCATAACATAATTTTTTAATTCTAATTTTAGAGCTCTAAACCTGAAACGCGCGTTAGATTCGTTTTTGGTAAGCAGGTACTTTACAGTGAACTCCATTATGGCCGTCCAGTATCTCCAAGATGGCGGCGAAAACGAGCTTTTTTGCTTATTATAATAATATCATTAAAAAATTTATGCAATTTTTCCAAAAAATCGAACACGCATAAGTATTAATGATAATAAAATATTAATCATAGATTTATCGCATTTTGCTTTGGTTAAAAAAAGCAGTCTATGGCTTATTTTTATACTAATTTATTTCATAAAACTTCGATGAAGTTGATCCAATGTGTGTCAATAAAAATAGACTAAATATGACCATAACTGTCTAATTTAATAATAAAGGATTAGATTTAATTCTAATATGGCAATAGAGCAGTTTTCGTATGACTGTGAAAAAGTCGGTGCCGTATGCGTACCTTGCCCCGACCACGATGTTTTCTAGAATTTTGATTGGTGGGTTTTTTTTTTCGTCCAATGTGGTTTGCTTGAGAAACCTATTGTTATAGGTTTTTGTTCGACTTTATCCATTGTTGTATGACGTTGACCGTGCACAGAGAAGGAAAGGTTGCTCCATTTGTTCACAGTATTAACTATGGTCTGGCAGTGCATGCCGTGACCTTGACGTGACTGTGTCCACGTCATGTTTGTGCTGTGTTTCGGGCATTTTATTGGACGGAGAGTACACTAAATTCTCGTGCGATGTGATTGGGTTAGCGTATTACCCCTTGCCGTGTCACGACCGTGTTCGTACCGTGAGGTTTTCTCAATCATACGAAAACTACTATATACACAGTCAAACCCCTGTTAATACGGACACTGGATCTGTTGTTACGACCACTTAATATGCTGTATTAAGAAGGTTTGACTGCATTAATTTTTAATACGCTTTTAATATGTTTTCCCATTCCAGACCACGTGTCATTCTCTAGAGTATCATTTCCTTGTTTAATCGTTGCGAATGAGAAGACACATGAATATTGATACAACGTAACAAAGAGTATTATTCTCGTGAAAATAACATTAAGTTTGAATTGGGAAAACATCATACATAAACTAAGGTTTCAAAAATTCTCATCATTCTCTTGAGTACAGTTTTCTCTCCGGTGTTCACCCCTTAAGTCCATGCATTAAGTAAATCAAACTTTGAAAAAATTATACTCAAGAAATTAACAAACGTCTGAAATGAGAAAACATTGCTCCCAAGATCCTATTTTAATCCTCAATTTTTAATTTCAGAGCACCTTCGACTCCCTGGAGTATAAAATTCTTTTATTATTTCAATCTCTTCGATAGTGCAGCTTATTGAAAGTAATTAAAAGCAATAATACTCAAGGAAATGACACGTAGTCTGAAATGGGAAAACACGGATTAGATCTACAATTGATTTATATTTGAGGTTTTGCTTTTCAGATTTCATCCCATATTTACTTCAAAATGGTAAACAACAGTGAAGAATTAGTTTATATTCGTCGTTAATTTTCTTTGATGCAAACTGCGGATTGAGCGAGCTGTTAAGTAGCTTGCATTACCGAATTGACGTCATTTTCGGTCTCCTGCGGAACCTTTGTCAGTTGAATGGCCAGTTTTCAAGTAGATGCAACTTGGAGCATTTAACATGACAGATTGCTCGTATTACTTTTCACTGATAGAAAGTTATTTATACAAAGGTGTCAATTCGATTGCCGTCAATTTGATTGCCGCCATTTTGATCACGTGATTAACGATTTCTTTCTTTTCAACTAAATGGTGCAGTTTGTGTGAGGGGAGGCGAGGGGGAAAGGATGCGTGAGAAGGGTTGGGTTCATTCCCCACCCCTCTCACAAGAATGAAAATCTCAAAAAATGTGCCTTAGTTTTGGAGGTGGCGTGGAAATCTGGTAACGAGTTAGCCATTTACTTTGGTTTCTCGGTCTGTTTTTCAAGAGAGTTTGCTAAGCTTTCCGCCATATTGAAAATAAGCGTCCACTAAAACAGCCCCATGATTCAGCGCGTGCTCATTCATTACCAGTTTCCAGCGTAACCTTGGAAAGGCCAATAGGTTGGTAAACTATAGCACTTTTCTCATTTACACCATATTTAGACCAGATACGACCCATTTTAAAGAGTAGGGCTTTCGGCGTCCATTAAAGTGACACCCGACCGGATTTGATGAGGTATAACTTTTATGATGATAGCCAAAAACCAAACGTCAAGAATTTGTCGAGGTCGCAAAAACATAAAAAAAGCTTKTAATGAAAAAGGATTCAATTGAAGGTAATTTAAGTCTTTTTTGTAGGAAGTAAATTATTTTAAGTGCCTTGGTCTTGTAATGTATTAAGGATTATAGTGAAACCTTTTAGGGTCATCAATTTTGGTGATGAAATTTTTAGAACGTGATGATTTTTTATGGCACCTTGGAAAATGGACGCCGTTTGTGTAATACTTTGCCAGGATATTCTTGACAAGAAAATGAGCCTTGTAGGTATTTTTTCCCACTTTTAAGTGACTACAATAACTTAATTTTCTAACAGCAAAGTATTCCGTTTTTCCAACTCACGCCATTGAGCATGCGCAATTTCCGTACTACCGCTGACTACAAAGTGAACAATTCAATAAGGCTATAATGGCCTGAAAATCCCCATCAAATCTTTGTTTCAAGAAAATCAGGATCGTCTTTCGAGGTGGATGGAGCCACACTTAGTCCCTTTCGTCTGCCTTTGTTTACGTAATCTGGTAAATAAGGAAACGTAGTTGTTCTATCTCGTGGAATAAAATTATCTTCACCCGGCAAATCTTGATTTGCGTCACCAGTAGAACAGTTCCCATTGGCTAAAATTTTCTTTTCCGGATTCAAGGGAGATTTACTTCCGGGAACGCTTTGCGTACGAGGCGGTTGAAGTTCTTTGAACTTTGCCGATAGTTTATTAGTGTCAGTGTCACTCGGGCATCTTTGGGGAGTGTCGTCCTCATCTCTATGGTTACTGGATAATTTTGAATCGGAAAGTGATAATTTTCTTTTTGATCTCAAACCCGAACTAGGATAAAGCTTGTCGTTTTGATTCAGATTGCTTGGCTCTGAATCCCTCGTATCATCTTTATCAGTTTTATCCGAGTCCTTTGATTCTAGTTGTTTGCTATATTCCGAACTCGCAGAAATTGCTGGTAGGATTATACCTTCTCCGTCATCGAGGTGTTCATCGATAGGGTTATTCGTGACATTCAATACCGGAAATGACGCATCATCAGTATCGTCAATATCTTTACTAGAACCCGCTCTTCCTTGAGATAGGAGTGTTTCTTTTTCCTCAGGAACGGTTGAAGAAGGTATGTCGCCATTTCTAAAATTATCTTTCCCATCTTTATCTGGTTTGAAAGCGATGAGGTTTTCAAAGTTTGCCCGCTGTCGTCTCCTTGGAGGCAAATCCCGCGCGGCGTCAAGAAGCGCATCTTTTTCGCTTTCCCTGAAGTGAATGTGGTCAGGATTGAGATCTGACCTGGCGCGCCGTGGCATATGTTGTGGACTGCTCATTGTTGATGACAAGTCATCACTCGTGCACAACTCATAATCAACATTACTCTGCTTAGTCTTTTTCTTTCTTCGTGAGCTGAGTTCTTGCTGTTTGGACAGCAGCCCCGGTACGCCTCCGAGAACAAGACGACGGTGTTTTGTGGGCAGTTTCAGTCTTGCTTGCGCATGCGCATAATAAAGATTAAAGTTATTTCCGATGACCGATATCGGCAGAGCAACTATCAAAACCCCACAAATTGCACAAGCGCCGCCAATGACTTTCCCAGGCCATGTATCGGGGGTCATATCACCGTAGCCGATCGTTGTCATGGTGATCAGACACCACCAAAAGGAGTCTGGTATTGAACGAAAATGAGATTTGTCCTTTTGTATCATGAACTCAGCATAATAGACAATACTAGAGAACATCACTACTGGAATCAACAACATGAGCAGTAGTAGTATCAGCTCATGCGAGCTAGCCTTTAGGGTCTGGACTATGATTTGAAGCCCGTACGACAACTTGATAAACCGAAACAGACGAAGGACTCGGATAACGACGAGTATGCGAACGATCTGATCGTCCGTAATTTTACTCAAGAAGAACGGCACGACCGCCACAAAGTCGATCCAGTTCATGATCCCTTTTATAAAGCGAAGCTTCGAAGGGCAAAATATCAGCCGCATCAGGAACTCGATGCAGAAGAAGATACTGCAAATGTACTCAATATAATCGAGCTCCTGGAGTTTTCCCATCACTAGCGCTTTGTTTTTCTTCATTGCCGGCATGGTCGTAGCACAGAACATTGCTATGGAAACGGTTATGAAAATGCATGACATGTAGGATACGCCCTTAAAAATAAAACAATAATAATAAATTAAAATAATATGGCATAGTATAAAATTAAAGTAGCAATGTACTGTGGTTATTATGCTCGTCATGGAAACGTTGTGGATATATCAAAATCAAATATATGAAGCTATTGGTTGAATCGATTGGTGCAACCAATAGAGCTATCAAATTTGCATGAGTGAACGTATTGTCTAAGTTTAAAGCGATTACACTCATTTTCATAATTGAGGTTTTGCATTATCACGTGCCCACGTCCATAATACAGCTTGGGCTACCTGTGGTTAGATGGCAAAACAATAAAATCTCTTTGCTCCTTGGAATAGGCGACTTGCACTAAGAGATCAAATCCGTGATCAAATCCGACATTGAGGCTGGCATTCTACAGGATTTTAGACATGCGGGAATGTAAAAAGTAAAGGCGTAAGTAAGGTTGTTTTTTTTTTTTTTGTTTTTGTTTTTTGTTTTTTGTGTGTGTGATAAAAGATATACCGTTTACGATTATATTGTTCTGCAATCATCTATTGGATTAAACATGGCTGCCGTCACGTGTTTATGCAAAACTTCTATTACGCGGCCAACACGATGGGACCCAAGACTTCTTGGTTTTTTTGTCTTCCATTAATCAAAATATTTTTACTAAAAGCCTTGGAAACGGTTGGTGGAACTGAGCTAAAAACCCAGAAGTCCGGAGCTGTGTTTGTCAGTCGCCTGATCCTTAATAGATTTTAAGGGCAAATGCATGCAATACAAACCTCTAGGCCACTACATCAAGTATTGAACGGTACCACACATCAATAGATCGATCTTTATTTACGTTTTTTCGGCTCATTAGCATTAACAAAATTTCAAGCTACAAGCAAACCGACTCCAGAAATCGAAAGAGAATGTCTTATTTTGTAACTACTGAAAATATGTTTAATATTTTGGGAGTAATTTTTTTTTGAAAGCGGTATGATTTACAAAGAAATGTATGGTCGAGTGGCGCACCCAGGGTGCAAGACTTACCACAAAATTTATTATTTGTTACAACATAAGTTGTTTAGTTTTTATGAAATAACCTGGTAATATCTATTTACACGTTCATCATTTCATTTTATGTTATGTTTATCAATATTTGATAATTAAAATTTAATATGATTATTTAATGCGACTGGATTTCACTTCTATTAGAGCTTCCAAACTCTTCTGTTCTTTCATTTTGTTCAATAATTATGACTTAGGGGAGGTAGGTTGGGGAAAAATGTCCCGTGTCGGGTAGGGTCGCGTACATTTTGGCGCGAAATAAAGGCCTGGTTGGTCGATTCTTCAAAAGCTTTTGATGGTGAGGAAAAGCTGTTCTTGAAATTACTTCAAATTCTTATTCAAAAATGAGAATTAAAAACAAGAAATCTCTACCTAAGGATCTTAGATGAATGGAGAAGTTGTGGAGCTAAAAATAGATAGCCAAAGTTTAGAGGAATTGGAGTATATGATGGTCTAGTGTGAACGAAGTTTTCAAACTGACAGAACTGACTCCGACATTCAGGTGAGTGAACTTGGAATAAACACGTGAAATATAAATATATCACTTAAAAATGTGCAAAAAGCAGAGCTAATTAGATAGTAAAAATCCATTACAGATATAATTTAAGACGTCAAAGCTATCTTGCAGAAGGAATTTCTATTTAAACTCGGAAAAGATTGATGTCGCTGCAGAGGCTGTGTAGAAAGAATCAAAGACTACCACAGGCAGCCCACAAAATATGAATGTACTTTCAAGTCGATTATTTTGTGCGCTTAAATTTATACAAATGAAAAAAAAAACTATTAGTTTTAGTCAAAATAAGAAAAGAGCGACAGAAATAACTTGAATACGATTGAAAATTGAGCCATCTTTAGTCTCTCTTAAAATCGAAAATTCTTATAATCCTTGTATGATCTGCAGACGTTTTTAAAAAGGCGAGAGGAGAGCTTTGCGTAAAGTCTTACTAGTGGATAAATGCACTCGAGTGTTATCAGTTGAATTTAGCTAAGTCGTTAGTCAGTTTCCTGGAGATTATTCTTAGTTTATTTGTGTGTATCTTCTGAGCCTATGTGCATTTATTCAATCTTGCCAATCGGGCACAAAGCATCAGACCAGTCCTATTGCAAGAAACTTTTAAGTCTCTTGAAATGTTATTACAGTGCATAGTAGTGAAAGACAAATATAGGGATAGACGGACAGACAGACTGACAGACAGAAGGACATGGAAATTAGAAAATCAGATAGAAAGGAGACAGATGTAGAAAGAAGGAAGACACTAATATAAATAGAGAAATTAAACAAGAGATAAGTTCGTTAAAAATTCCAAGAATGACATCGATGTTGTCAAACACGAGGCAATACATTTCTTTTCATATTGAGTTATAATACATGGTTCAAAAATTAATCTCTCTCTCTCTCTCTCTCTCTCTCCTTTCTTTCTTTCTTTCTTTCTTTCTTTCTTTCTTTCTTTCTTTCTTTCTTTCTTTTCTCCCCATTCTTTCTTTTGTTCGTTCTTTTTCTCACTCCCACATCGATCCTTCCATTTATTTATTGATATAATTATTCCTTTCTTTAGTTGAAACATCTCTTATTAATGATCACTCTCTATATTGAATAGAGTCTGAGTTCAACTTCAACTTCATATATCTATTGATGTGATTAATTAGCGGAACATTTATTAAGTTGTTGATATAAGGGAGAGTGGTGTTTTGGAGCGTGTTTTTGATTTCTGTTTTGTGCAGACGTTACAAAATTGTCAAAAACTTAAGTTTTGATTAATGTATTTCATAAAACGGCAGATTTAAGCGGAATAACCTTTGAGGGAAATGAATAAACAAATTGAAAAAAATCGGTAAAAATATACAAATGTCAAGAGGAATTATCTTTCTATCAAATTCCTTTTCTTCATTTTCCTTTCCTTCACTTTTTTCATTTCTTTCACTTCGTTTCGTTTCCCGGTTCTTTTTGTTTTCTTTCCTTTCCTTCACCTCCTTTTCTTTCACTTCTCTTGCAGTCCGTCATTTTTAACTCTCTTCTTTTGTTATTCACTTGCACTTCGTTATAGTTTCCGTTTTCTTTTCTTTGCCTCACTTTCCTCTTTGTTCGTTTTCTTTCGTTTCAGTTTTCTTTTCTTTCCCGAGAGTTTCCTTCGTCATCTTTCTTTCATTTTCCTTTTTTCACTTCCCTTCCCTTATCTTTCCTTTCCTCATTTGTATCCATTACACACGAGGTTGTGTTTCCTTCTCATGATGACAAAATTGTTTACACATACTACAATATCATAAAAATTTATTGTACTAAACAATCAAAAGTTTCCTTTCGAAACTTACTTTCCGGTGATGAAGACGGTTTTATTGCGAGTTGCCTTCCTGTCTCTGGTTGTCAAAATTGAAAATTCTAATTGTCTCGTTTCTTGATTGTAATTTTGAATGGCGAAGGGTCAGGAAATTGAAGCAGGAATAATGTCTAGCTATCGTACTATATTAGTTTTTCATTTCTTTCTATTCTTATAACCTTTCTGTTTTCCCATTTCCTGTTTTTTGTTTGTTTGTTTGTTTGTTTGTTTTTTCCCCCGTTTTCAGTTTTTTCTCCGACGTTTTATTTTACTTAAAAAGTAACCTTCACAAAGATAAAAAGGCTTTCTGTTTTTGTTTTGTTTTGTTTTCTTTTTTTTCTTCAGTTTCGTTTCTTTAAGGTTGACTTTTTTCTTTTATATCTATATGTACCTTTTTGTAGATAAAAGGAGGAAAAAAACTGAACGTGTTAGCATCCAATTTTCTTATTTTCCCATTTCACTTCTTAGAACTGTATAACTAAATGACAATGGCTGCAATCTAATTTCCTTGTATCCGTTTTCAGTTCTTGTTGAATGACTCTTAAATGAAATAAAATTGTCTTGCATTAATGAAATCTTCACATGACATCCCACAAAAAGACATTTTTTTGCTCGTTAGTATTTTCACAATTCTAATTATTTGACATCTCCTCGGGAAGGGAGAATCTCTGGTTGGATTTATTTGATTTTGTCTATCATAGAATACTCGTTCAAATATACTTCTCAATTGACAAATGCTGAAGCAAGGAAGAATCTCTGTTTGGGTTGGATGTATTTGATCTTGTCTATCATAGAATACTTTTTCGAATATACTTCTTAAGTGACAAATGATGAAGCAATCTATTATTTGAAATTTAAAATACTTTCCATTTTTTTAACGGATTAACAGAGAAGAAAAAAAGAAAAAAAACTCCAAATTGTTTCTTCTTTATTCCCAAACTTAAGTTGTCAACAGCATTTTCATATAGTAGTTAATTTTGAAATTATTACTCATTCTCATGAGCAAAAATTCTGAGATTTAATCAAAAAATGTTATTTATGTACAAATACGCAAAATCCGTCGAACAGCAAATTACGATTTCGTACTATCAAGCAGTCGAACCAGCATCCTTGAACTTTTTTTTATTGCAAATTATATTTTAAATCAGTTTTGGAAAATTCGAATAAGATTCTGAGAGTCGGCTGACTTAAATTTAAAGGCTTTCTTACCAGTGGTAGACTTGAAAAATGGCTTTGTTTTGGGGTTTCCGTCGTGTGCCCTTCCTCATTTTTCGCACATGACTGTTTTGATTTTTGCTGTTGTTGTCATTCGGTTTCTGTTTTCGTTAGTTAATTGTCACCTTAGTCTAGACTTCCTAAAGGCTTTCTTTTACTCTTAATGCAACACAAGAGTAACCTTGTTTCAAGCCCTCAATTCTAATAAGTGCTATTCAGTTAGTGGAATAGCACTTATGATGCTTCTGTCATTTTTCACATCTAGGAGTATCTTAATCAAACAGTGAAAAAATACTGAAAGGTTCATGATAGAAGACTGAAGTCGAGAGTCAATAACCGGGGCATAACCATAAACTCCCAAGTTGTGGATGAATTTAAAGGTCGTATTGTTGTAGGAAATAATCTATCTAGACAAAATTGTCAAAACTATTGCCTGAAGTTGCTTCGGAAAGGATATCGCTTGAATATAATTAAAGATGAGGTATTGACGAGTTATTTCTCTACCGATATAACACATTTATGATTGATTTTTGAAGAAAAAAAGTTGCTGGTGTAATCAACTTTTATGGGGCAAAGATTAGCAAGTCTCTGCTTAAAATATGCGCCTAATTTTTTTTGAGCGGTTTTCGCATGAGTGGAAAGCGAAGACTTGCAAGGCGTGAACGTACGGTAAAATATGTCGTAACATTGAGATTATTTCCCATATGAGAATAGTTATTGCATGTGTGGGAAACATACGGTACCGACTTACAGTTCTAACGTACAAGGTACAATAAATGGTTTCTCATAAGAATGGTTATCGTATGAGTGGGAAACATACGGCACTTACAGTTCGTACGCGGTACAATATGCCGTAACATTGAAACGGTTTCCCATAAGAATGGCTATCGTATAAGAACGTAATGACTTACAGCACATAACACGGTAGGATACGACAAAATGGCTTCCCATTGTCTTTCAGTAATTCCTCGAATCATAACGGGTAGGTACGGTAAGGTACGGTACGATTATACTACGGTTACGACTTTCCCATATCGTTTCCCACTCATACGAAAACCGTGCTAGTCCAAGAATGCATAGTTCACGAGTTCGTCATAAACATATTTTTGCGGAGGTTACTCATTCATTATCAAGAAGTGGCCTCTTCATTCTGATAAATTTTATTTGACAAGCATGCACAAAGTTAGTACCATTTCAAATTTAGCACCAAACATTTCAAATTCAGTTTAAAAAATATTGTCTTTATAAATGTTAAATGTATTTTTGAAAATGATTTTTGTTTTGTCGCCTATGTTTCTCGTTACAACACTACCCTATCAACTTAGCAACCATTGTTTTTCTGTCAGGTATTATTTACTTAAATATAAAACTTTTTTACATCTAATTTTTACTATGCTTTTCTAAATTTAATATTTTCTAAATAAAGTTCTACCCATTTATATAAAAAAATATTACTCTCGACATCTTGGTAGTGTATTATATTTTATCAGTCGAAATTATCAAAATTGTCCATGAAGCATTGATGTAATTCCTTTGAACGATTTCATGCTGCTTCTTATCGGCGATTAAAAAAAACCCGATGTACTAGCTAACAAAAATGCTTCCTTTATATATTAGTTATATTTCTGTATTATAAACGTGTCCAGTAGATTCTACCTTGTATAAATAGTCGTAATTTTGTATATAATGAACGTTGTAAAAAGTACGTAATTGG